GCTATGTTCATATGGCTATTTGATGTCATTATTGCAAAGTTTCATTATAATATAGGTATAATATCTATCCCAACGAAATAGACATGGCTATAATATATAATATATATGGAGATGTGCTTAGTTCTTATATGGAGATTTGTATTATAAATTAAATATATGACAAATATATAAAACAGTGAACAAATGAAGATTCCAAAGCTATATTAAAGCGAATATAATAATAAAACTTCAAGAAAAATATCAATAACAGTGGACATGCGAAAGTTGCATCACAAGGAATATATAATAATAATATGACAAACTGCATTATATATAGAGAGAAGATCTGTTTTATATATGACAGCATAATTGATAGTTTCAAAATCAGAGCCTGCAACATAATTGATAGTCAAATAACAAATTTTCTAATTATCCTGCAATAGCTCCACTCCAGCTTCACAATTCTACCCAATTCTTTTAGAATGCGGATATCAACAGCTAATCAGAGTCTATATCAGATACACCTTCATTCAATTGAGGGATTGAAGCAAGTTCTACAAAAATAAAGATAAATATTACTCAATATAAAAGATTAACAATGCTCAACAAAAAATAATATAAGTTATAAGTAAATTACCTAATTCCAAATTTTCTAACTCATCCACAAGCTCTTCAATATCCACCGACACCGGGGAAGATTTACACCAATTTTGTGTATAAATTAAAGCTTCAACTGTTTTTGGCGTAAGAGAGCTTCTATAACAAGTAAGCACTCTTCCTCCGGTAGAGAAAGCGGACTCTGAAGCTACAGTAGACACAGGCATGGCCAATATATCTCTAGCCATTTGACCAAGAATAGGATACTTGTTAGAATTCACCTTCCACCAGTTCAAGATATCAAAACCAGGACCTTTCTTCTCCAAATTCTCCATGAGATACAAATCCAATTCATTTTTCTGCATGTTCTCATTAAGATTCATGTCCATCTCAACCTCTAAAGCAAATGCATCCTCTGGTGCTTTAAGTTCTACCAATTCCACTTCTTGAGTGGAATGTGTAAGATTTTCAGTTTGACCGTTACCAAGGAAAAGCCTATAACTCTCAAATATTTTATTTAATGTCTCCTATATTTTTTTGTACAAAGATACAGCAAGTAAATGGAAGTAATACCGGTTCGGTTTGGACCAGTTCGGTTCTCATGAAGCCAACCGTAAACCGGACCGAACCGGTCGATTATGCTACATGGTGATCCAAATACATTCAAAAAAATTCGGTTTTTTTTGGATTTCGATTTTTTTGGTTCGATTTTTGAATTTTTTTTAGATCTGATTGGATCTGAACACCCCTACTCAATTCTAGTAGGAGTCCAATTCCTACAACAGGGAGTAGCTTTAGGTCCTTTGGATAAAAAACAACTCCATAAATATTGTTAATCGTTATTTTTAATTTTTTTAAATATTTTTTATTTACTGTTGTTACAACTTTGTTTATTAATATGTTTTTTTTTTAATAATTTGAAAACTCTTCTACTTATTAAATATAATTATTTATAAATATTGTCAAAAATTTCCTTTCATAATTTCATTTATTTTCACAACTTTAGACCTTCACAATTTTCTCTCTTTAGTATTCATTTACAATAGTTTTTATTCAACATTTTATCTTATTGTTTCCACACATTTATGGTAATTTAGTATTTTAAATAGTAATAAAATTAAATATGAATAAAATGTTAGTATGAGTAATTCAACATTTTATCTTATTGTTTCCACACATTTATGGTAATTTAGTATTTTAAATAGTAATAAAATTAAATATGAATGAAATGTTAGTATGAGTAAAATTGTGAGACTTAGGGTGAATTTTTTTTAGAGGTGTTTTGAAAAAATTAAAATTGAATGAGTTATTTTAAAATGACGTGACTTAAGATATTTCATATAATAATTCAAAAATAATTTGTATTTGTTTACATATTTGAAAACAAAGTTGATGATAGGTCGATGATGATCGATGATGATTTTCTAGTGATCATAAAAGGTATTTATAAAATATTAATATTTTAATATTCAAGTCAGTATATGAGTAAGATGAAAATTTTATAAGTGAAAATATATTCAGTAAATATATTTTTAAAATCACTGATTAATTAAAATTATTGTAACATCGAAAAAAAATAGATTAAACTGTTCAAACCAGTTTGGATCAAACAATTAAATTAAGTTTTGTGAGAGTCTTGTCTAAAAAAATGCATACAATTTCAATTAAATATTTTTTTTTATCAGCATCGAAACTTAAAATATTTTCCTTCACAAAAACACAAACCATCATTAAAGCTTAAACAAGATTCAGTTATTCATAAACAAACAAAGAAACCACAACTTTAATCTCATCATATTTAATAACATTCTATTAGTCTAGAATAAATGAACTCCAAAATCACTTTAATCTCATCATATTTAATAACATTCTAATAAGTCTAGAAGAAATGAATACTATCACTACTATATATATATATATATATATATATATATATATATATATATATATATATATATATATATATATATATATATATATATATATATATATATATATATATATATATATATATATATATATATATATATATATATATATATATATATATATATATATATATATATATGTGAGAATACTAGCAAATATATCATTCATTTGGTAATCCGTAATATTTGAGATCCCATCATATATTAATCAATTATTAAAATATTTTTTATCAATATTAAAAATAAAATTAAAAAAGTAATAAATTGGTTTTAAAACTAAGCAAAATCAATAATAACTTCATCATCAATAGTAAGAGAAGATATGATGTTAGTATGATGCCTACTTTTAGCGGTTTCATTAAAGAATTCTGTGTCATAGTACCTTCGTCACACCATTTGATTCTAACCTTCTCATGTCAAAAGCTCTCTTCAGCCTTCAAAGTCTGCTCATAAGAAATTATGATATTTTTTCTCTTGTTCCATCAAAGCATAACTATAGCGATGATCATCAATTTGCTCATGTATAACACCATGCATAAAGACATTTATCTGGAATATTAACATGGACATCACCAAAGATATTTTTGTTCCATCCTCTAAGAATGATTTTGAGGTTCTTCAATTTTTGAGATAAAATACACATATGATCACCATAATCTTGATTATTCCAACTATCTTGTATGAACTTGACTCAATTAGGTGAGTGGATCACATTTTCATAAATCTAAAGGAACCATAATGCATAATATTATTATATTTATATTAAAGTATAAGAGGAAAGTTATCAGGGTTATTTTTATTAAGGGTGTAATAGATGGTTAAAATCTAACTGTCAATCCAATAAAGATTGCAAATGGTTCAATCAAATATTTTTTTAATAGAAGTGTTACCTCTTTTTTTATTGGACCAAGTAAAGAATGAATCTCTATTTTGCAAATGAATGAGATGACACTGATCTAAGCTTGAAAATTGTAGCGATATAATTTTATTAGACCCTTAAGAAGGGATAATCCATGGAAAAAGGAAGGCCATGCGCAATGGCGAGGGGCAAGCTACCCTGCAAAGCTAAGGACCACCCAAATGAGCCACATGGTCGTCCGAAAGGAGCCGCGATGCCATTCAGATTGGACTCCCACAGTTCTTCTCTTTAGCTTTCTTACTTCTATCTTTCTTGGAGAGAACATGAGTGTAATCCTCCTTTTTCTTATGATTAGAATTGTTCCCTTCATTGACCATATCTTCCCGGTTACCTTTTTTTTAGCAACATTCATATCACTTTGAACCACATTAGATATATTAGCATTATTGTCAAACACCACAATAATGTTTCCTTCAACAATAATTTTCTCATTAATATGTATTTCCTGATGGTTTGTATTATCCGCAAACTCAGAGTTCATGAAACTAACATCCTTTTTATCATTGTTGGCTGGTATAACACCACCATAACTATTACTAGAAGCCTCACATTCATCAAGGACACTAGTATCTGAATGAGGAGGTTGCAGAGTTTCAAGATGACCAATAGATTTTGAATTGTTCTCCTCATTGACATGAGGAGAATTACCATCCTCATTGGAGATGTTAACATCATTTGTGTTAGGATCAATCTTGAAAGGATCTTCATTGGAATTATTGCCACTCTTCTTTTCGTGCACACTATTGTCCTTGTGCTCTTCTCGAGTATCTTTAGTTTTCTTACATTATGTGATAAATGACCAACATTCTTGTAGAAATTACAAAAGCTATAAACTTGTCATATTCAATATCAACATAAAAAGAATAACCACTTTTCATCAAAATTTTGTCTCACAACTAACTAGAAAAAATCAACATCAACAAATATTCTAGCGTAATGACCAAAACTTTTATCAAATAAGGATTTACTCATATTGTTATTCAAACGTATGAGATACGTATGAGATGTTTAACCTTCATTATTCCTGAATCGTCCTAGTACTCGCACGAGACTTAAGTGTTAATCATCTTTACTTTTTATTTTCAATCATTAACCCAAAGCATTAAGGAAGAAGTTATTGAACCTAATTGGATTTGAACCTTGTTTGTCCACTTACACTTTTTTTGGTATAAATATAGACATTTTTGGCAGTTAACACACTCTTATAAGTGGTGTAATCGAAAATACATATTCAAAATGTGTGAAATTTTAAAATTGTATATATAAATTATATCAAAATTTATGAAAAATAATAGTTTCAGATATATATATTAAAATTAAAAGATATTTTAGACATAGAATCTCTAAGAAACGGCAAGAGTTCGTTCATAAATTTTTATTTTAAAAATCTTGACTCTAAATTGAGTTTAATTTAGTTGAATTAATTTTCTTCCCGAAAAAATAAATAAAAAAGCGGCCGTCTCATAAAGAACAAAATAACTGCATTCTAAATTGCGCCGTGTGCGCACGGTTAGCCTTATCTGATTCTATCTATCATTCATTCTTTCACAGTAACAACATTCATCTTCTTCAAAGCAATGACACCAATGGCATCATCCTCTTCACTCAATTCAATTCCTCTATCCGCTCCTTCCATTTCTTCCCCACTTCGTGCATTCTCCACTCCTCTCTTTCCTCAATCAAATTCCCACTTTCACCAAACCAGGAACCACCATTTCAACTTCACCGTTAAAGTACAAACCCTAGATTTCACCGGTTCGTTCTTCGAAGGCGGATTCGGTTCAGGCGATGATCCGATTTCTCCCGGAACCGGTTTTACAACCGCCGTTGAAGAGAAACCGGAACCGCAATGCCCGCCCGGACTTAGACAGTATGAAACTATGGTGGTTTTGAGACCTGATATGTCTGAGGATGAACGTCTTGAACTGACTCAGAAATATGAAGAGGTTAAATTCTCTCAATTTTCAGTTCTTTCTCGCGCTTTTGTTTTTGTTTAGTTTATCAAATTGAAGTTATAGTTTTTGTTTATGTTATCTTGTTCTTTGTTACTGATTGATTTGAATTATCAATTAACGTTTCTGTAATGAGTTTGAAACTTGATGAGTAGCTTCTGTTTATGTGTATGGTATTAGAGGGACCTGATATGTTAGAATTGTAGAATTCATAATTCTAATTGAATGAGTTGATTCAATTTGGAAGAGTATGAATTAATCTAGTATAAATCGCAAATTGCTTCGGGAATTATGTGATTTATGCATGAACCGGTGCAATTATGTATCTCTTGTTTGGATTGACGGAATCAGATGGAGCAGAGTAGTATGAGATGGAATGACGTGGTATGGATTCCATTCCATTCCATCACTTATCATCATATTTCTTTCTCTCTAATTTGGGCGGAATGAAGAACTTGCCTTGTTCCTTCCTAAAATGTTCAAACGATGGAATGAAATCTTCTTTCTGCTCTGCTCCATTCCGTTTCATTCCACTCTGCTCCTTTCCATTTCGCTCCACTCATTTTATGATATCCAAACATAGCCTAAATGATTATGTGGTTATTTATTTGTTAGTGTATATTACCAGTCCTCATCATAGAAACTCAAAACTTGGAGAAGCTTAAACCGCTTATTGATGAATTAGGGAACTAGAGGAACACTAGTGAATGCACTGCTGTTTGGTTGTGTCTGTTTCTTTTTGTCTTCATTCTTTCGAAACAGACACTTGATTACACTCAACACCTTATTTGATTAAATCATTGCTCTGTTTTGTTCTTCACAAACACAGGCTTCATGCAATCACTTTATGTGTTTCCTAAAAGAAAGCAAGATTGATGTTATGTCCATAAACAAAGTCGGGTACAAACTCTAAGGATGAACTACCCTTTTAGAAAGTATCATAACTTGTGAATTCTCTCTTGTTACTTATGAGTTGAGTTTTATTTATTTATTTGTAGCTTCTATGTTATTTTACAGGAAGGTAGGACTCAATAATTACCTATCGTTTTGTTTTGTCGGATTTATTGTCTAGTTGTTTTCTTGATTCGTAGATTAAAATTATTCCATTGAGCACTATACTTCATTCATATGGCATAGTTTAAGGTGCTCTACATTATGTCTCTAAATCTTGTGATTTGATACGGTTTATGATTTGAAAATAAGCTTCATAATTATAAATTGCGCGAACTAGATTTTTACACCGTTCTATTCTCATTTGAATAAAACACTCCATTTCTATGTTTTTTCTTTGTGCAGCTTCTTGTTGCTGGAGGTGGTATGTATGTAGAGGTTTTTAACAGGGGTATTATTCCACTAGCATATACCATCCAGACGAAAAACAAGGACGGAGAAACTAACACGTATTTGGACGGCATCTACCTCTTATTCACCTACTTCACAAAGCCCGAGTCCATAACCGCCCTTGAGGAGATGCTAATGAGGGATGATAACGTTATCCGATCAAGTAGCTTCAAGATCAGGATCAGGAAAAGGAAATATTAGTTTATCTTGGCGTCTCGAGTAGCTCTGATAAAAGGATGGATAGAAAAAAAATGTAGCATTCATCATTTGTTGCTGTGGTATGTTTTTTTCATTTTCATATGGATTCAAGTATTTTTGTAACATGGTTGTATCAAATTAAAAGAGGGATGTATGTGCTATTACTTAAAAGCCAATGAGTCTACAGAATTTTGTTAAAGGGGTTCGTATTAGACAAACAGTAGAAACTGTCACTTGAAAAAATAACATGTTTCTAATTCCTTACATATAATCACAGGATCCAGTAATGTGAAAAAAACACTAATACAAAATCTGCTTGAGCTTGAATTCCACTTAGGGTTTGAATGGAGCAAAGACAACTACTGAATTGTGTCCACCAAATCCAAATGAATTGGAGATAGCTGCAAAAAGGATAATAAATAAAGGTCAATAACATATAGTTTTTTATTTTTCATTTTCACACCAAAATAACAACCTACTTACCAACATTAACTTCATGCTTTTTCTTAAAATTAGGGACAGTATCAATTGTAACATCCTCTTCCAAATTCTGTACAAAAATAAAAAATAAAAATCAGATTTATTATTCTTTAATAAGATGAGTTTCTAGGCTAAGACAGTACATCTTGGTTAATAGTTGGATGCAACCATCCAGTAGTTATTGTTTTAATAGTTGCTATAGCTTCCAAACCACCAGCAGCCCCAAGACAATGGCCAATCATTGACTGAAAAATGAAAAATGAAACAATAATGATAAGCTTCAAGATCACAACGAGGAATATGTTAGGGTTCTAAAATATTTATAAGTAAATAAATTTCTTACCTTAGTCCCATTCATTTTTAGTTCTGATGTATCCTTAAAAACCTTTTTGATTGCATTAACCTCAGCCAAGTCACCAGCTAGTGTTGATGTAGCATGAGCATTTACATAGTTCACCTTAACAGTTTAGAAATTAATCAATTAAGATTCATCAATTTACATGAATTTAAATCAAATTGAGTTTGATGAAATCACGGGACACTGTGATTTTGATAAAGATTCAAAATATAATTTTTGCCATAATCACGATTGTGATTCTGCCAAATTCATCTCTTTCTTACCTCTTCAGGGGAAACACCGGCGTCTTGTAAACTCTTGCTTATGCAAGATGAAACTCCAAATCCATCTGATCTTGGATCAGTCATGTGATGAGCATCACATGTTATGGCACCACCCAAATATTCAGCAATTATTCTTGCTCCCCTCTTTGTTGCACTCTCCAAGCTCTCCATTATCTTCTCTCAATAATGCAAAATCAAGTTCAAAGAAAAACTTATAAATACACAACGCTAGTAAAGAAAATAGTATAACCTAAAATAAGGATCAGACTCAAGTAAAGTAAGTAATATCAACTGTTGATTTTTCCACTTTACTAATTATTCATACATTCATTATAGAGGGTTGATAACTCGTGAAACAAAAATGGTAAGTTGAAGATTCTACCAGGACACCGGAACCTTCACCAATGACAAAACCATCGCGATTTTTGTCCCATGGCCTTGAAGCCTTCTTAGGGTCATCATTCCTCTGAGACAAAGCCCTGCAAGCAACGAATCCTCCAACACCAGAAGGTATAATCGAAGCTTCAGTACCACCAACCACCATAATATCTACTTCACCACTTCTAATGTGATGTGAAGCTGCACAAAAGCAGTAATTTGCTGTGGCACAAGCAGTGGAAATGGAATAATTTGGTCCCATTAGTCCTGTCTCTATAGCCAACAAAGCAGAACTCATGTTAATGGTGTAGGGAATGAAAAATTGATTGATTTTTTCATGTCCCTTATGCTTCAGAGCATCAACAGCATTGTTAATACTACTCACACCTCCCATTCCTGTTCCCACTAGAACTCCTATTCTTGTTTTGTCCATCTGTTAGACAAATAAATTATACGTTCAAAAATGTAAAGATATGGAATATGAAAAATACAAATAATATATGCCAACTTCAAATTTTTTTGGACTTACATTGTTGAGGGCTTCATATCCAAGATTAGCATCTTCAAGTGCCCTCTTGCCTGCAACTAAACAATACCTCGAGCAATCGTCGAGGCGTCGATCATTCTCATAATCAATGTAACCTTGTGAAGAAAAATCGCGTATCTGACCGGCGAAACGGACGGGGAAGCTCGAGGCATCAAACCTATCTATTAGGCTAATCCCACTTTCTCCTTCAAGAAGCTTGTTGTAAAATACATCTATATCACTACCAAAGACAGAAACAAGACCCATTCCAGTTATTACTACTCTCTTTTTTGGATCTTTCTGTCTTTGAGGAGCTGCTACATTTGGAGAAGACATGGCCTTGATTGTTTTGTATTTCTTGGCTGCAATGTAAGTAGAAAGCTTCAGCTAGATAAACATCAAGAATGTTGAGAAAAAAAAGAGAGCTAAAAATACAAATACGAAAGGTTAGAAAAAGGAAGGAGAGTTACTTGTAGCTAAAGTGTAGCTTTTTGGCATGCATGCAGTTGAAAGCATTTGCACTCTTTGAGTAAACCTAAGACCTTCATAGTGAACCAAAGATACCTCAAAAAGACATGTATTAAAAAAGCCATTGCATGCCATGATTATTTTGTGTGAAAAGTGTGGGATTTAATGTTGATTTTACATGCAAAGGAGTGAACTTTGAAGAATGAGTTGTGGGTGGAAGAGGAAGAGGAAGTTATATAAAAGGAAAGCTTTGATTTCAGTTTTGTTAAAGTGTGCAACTGGTTTTATTTGTCCTGAATTGTATGTAAACAAACTAATAGCTATGGGGAAATAAATACTAGTACACTTGTTATGAGTTTTGGTTTGCATTTATTTCCTTTAAAGGTACTAGTACAGTATATTGACACGTATTAGTCATGTACTTAATATATATATATATATATATATATATATATATATATATATATATATATATATATATATATATATATATATATATATATATATATATATATATAAAACACTTACAAATTTTGAATTTCATTAACCACAAATTATATTTGAACACATACAAATTTATGTATTTTTATTTATAGTTTTAATGATTAAAAGTGTTAAATTGTAATTCAGTGTGTCGAAAAGATTTGATTTGTTTAGATTTAAATAAATTTGATTTAAGTTTAGAATAAATTAGATTTGATTTAGTAACAAAATAGATATTTTGGACTTTGGGCTTAGGGTGTAAGCTCAGTTATAAATAAATGGAGTAACCCCTATTTTCAAGCAAGTTGTATTCACAGAATTTGCAGTTGCAAGTGAATAACAAAGTTTTCACAGTTTGTGAACAGAGAGAAACTCTGCAGAAATTATTTGTCTTGTCTTCTTTTCTTTGTTTGTCTCATAATTAAATTGTCATTGTGGTAGAAATTCATCATAGACTTTGGTGGATTTCCAACATCTGGTATCAAGAACTTTTGTTTCGATTCGAGGGAAGTATCAATCAAGAACGATTGAAGAATTCACGATGACAAGTTATGGGAATGCAAACTATCCAGCAACGCTACCAATTCTGAAAGTTGACAACTATGAGAATTGGTGCAAACAGATGAAAGTCTTATTCAGGTGTCAAGGTCTTTGGGACCTTGTAAAAGATGGAGACGAAGCGCTTGGAGAAAACGCTTCAGAAGAAGAAAAGAAGAAATACACAGAATCTGAGAAACTGAGTTATAAAGCATTATTTATAATTCATCAATGTGTCAGCCCAGACAACTTCGAAAAAGTTAGTGATTCAGAATCTGCAAAAGAAGCTTGGGAGATCCTTGAGAAGTCTTTTGGAGGCGCTGAGAAGGTGAAAGAAGTGAGGTTACAAACTCACAAAAGGACGTATGAACTCCTTCAGATGGAAGATAGTGAAAGCATATCTGATTTTTTCACTAGAGTTACAAAACTAGTAAATCAAATCAAGATATGTGGAGAAGCGTTAACAACAAGAGCTGTTGTTTCGAAGATCTTAAGATCTTTAGCTCCTAAGTTCGACCACATAGTGGTGGCGATAGAAGAGGGGAAAGACTTGTCGAAATTAACAAAGGAAGAGCTTCAAGGGACGCTTGAATCTCATGAACAAAGAATGAATGAAAGAGCTGCAGGCAAATCGAAGAGCGATGTGGCCTTGCAGACACATTCAGCAAAAGAAACCAAAGGCAAAGGAAAATGTTTCGATAGAGATAGAGGTGGCTATAACAAATCGAATGGTAGAGGAAACCAGATCGAAAGAAACGTGTCGAATCAAAGAAGGTCATACCAAGGCAACCAAAGAGGTGGTGTTGCAAATAGAGGAAGAGGTGGTGGTCGAAAACCTGATAAGAGTCACATTCAATGTTATAATTGTCAAAAGTATGGTCACCATTTGAGTGATTGTCCAGAAAAACGAAAGAATCAAGAAAGTGATGCAAAGCTTACAAAACATGAAGAAGAAGAGATGATGCTGATGGTCACAACAAAAGATGAAGATAGATTCAAGGACCAATGGTACTTGGACTCAGGATGCTCATCACATATGTCTGGAAGGAAAACTTGGTTTGTCAACATAAAGCCCTCAACAAAATATATGGTAAAATTTGCAAATGACAATACCCTAGCAGCTGAAGGTATTGGTGATGTTATGATTATGAGGAAAGATGGCAAGAGGTCAGTAATTTTCAATGTATTGTACATACCAGGCATGGAGAGCAATTTGCTCAGTATAGGGCAGTTGGTCGAAAAGAATTATTAAGTGTTAATCGAAGATAAGATGATGAGAGTCGTTGATGCAAATGGGAGATTAATTTGAAGGCTCCTATGTCTCAGAATCGAACCTTCAAGATTGAATTAAATGTGATGGAGCACAAGTGCCTTTCAACTGCAGCTAGCAGAGATGAATGGATATGGAATTATAGACTAGGCCATCTCAACTTCAGAGACATCATAGATTTGAAGAGAAAAAATATGGTCTCAGGATTTCCTGAAATTAACATTCCAAACGAGGTATGTG